ATAATGTGATATATGACATAGATTTAGTCCATGATTTTATAGAAAACTAATGGACACGACAAATGCAAAGTTAACGTGTTACCTTGACACTAAGATTTACATATTACAGTCATTAAGACAGCTATACATGTTTTGGTGACATTGCTGTAACTAAGCACTTGGAATCCTAACCTGTACCTTCTGCTTGGAAACATTCTGTGTCTATTTGTGTATGTATTTGAGTGAGTGCAGCCCCCAATCCAGCCGAATTAAACGCTGTGCCAGCAATTTGCTGGCAGAACACTCCTTCGGCCTTCATCGGCTGCTGTTGGAGTTGTGAATTTTCCCTGCAGCCATCTCTGTTTTCTTGACACTTTCTACTTTTTCACAGGGAAAAATAGCACACGTGGCAACTAAGGTCACTCACTAATGTGAAAGACAGCTGCTGTTTACGTGCTTGTTTTTCCCCAGAGTTACACCCAATTGATCTGTTAAAAAAATAGATTAGCTAGGGCTCCAGGCAGTCTATTGCCTCACTTTTTGAGCAAACTCAACTAATTCAGTTCTGCAGTGCGGGCCTCGTTTGCAAATAGATCGTGTACCGGATTGAGATGCAGGCCGACGTATGAGAAAGTCTCTTATCAACCATGCTGTGTCTGACTCTCACAGATTAGCCAGAGAAGCTCTGCCTCACCCCACTTACACGCAGCAGCACAGACACTTCTGCTTCTGCTTATAGATATCTGTCACACTCTTTTACTTCATAAGCCATAGCTTCGTACTAGCGCTTTCAGTATTTGATGTTTATTTGATGTGGGATTAAAAAACACATACCCTACACAACATTTTGAGCTCTGCTTAGGGTGTCACTGTGGGTTTATGTACCTAAAACAGTCTTAATTCATTTTTACATGATCATCTCCAGCCTCTTTATCCCTTACAATTAAACAGGCCATTTTATTCACGTGCCTTTGAGACTGATATATGCAAATGTGTCCTGTTCCAACTGGCTGTCCTGCATTGCACAGTCTGGGCTGAAACACTCCTTATAACTTCAGAGTGACAAACTAGTATAGGAAGAATTAGTTTATATATGTAAATTGTTTGTTTTTTGTGACATCACTAACACAATGAGCTCAAAATGAGCTGTTTTTGCAGCTTAGTGTCTATTTCAAACACTTTAACTTTATAAAATTGAGGAAAATTTGGCAAAAAAAATCTAATTTCACATTTTCCCCATTACCTGAATACATCCAGTCAGCCGAGACATGTTTGACAAGTTTGCTTCTTCAGTGTAGCATTGGGTTCCTAAGGCTAATGTAGCTAATAAATAATGAAAGCCTATGCAGCACCAAGTAGCACTGTGCAAACTGCATGTCTACATCATCACTAGCCATCACAAACAGACTCTCTTATGCAGTTTCTGATGCTGATACATACTATTATGTACAAAGGTAAGCCTATTTGAGATTTCAAGCCAATGCAGTTGAAAACAAAGGCAAGCGATGACCTGCAGTGTGCACAATGCTAACTGATGGGCTGTAAGCTTCCCTGTTAGCTACATTAGCCTTATATCGTCAGAGCAGAACTGGAAAACCAATTTCAGACAGCAAATATTTCTTGAATATATTTGTGGTGAAGGAAAAATTGTATTGATTTTGTTTGATTTTTTCAAATAGTATCGCTTTAATGAGTTTTTGCTTTGATGAGTCTATTTGTCAGAACAAGAATCTTGTCTACGTCCTGATGGACTAACAGGAATCCTGATCTTCCAACTGGTTGTTAAAGGAGAATTTCACCAAATTTCAAAATTTTGACAATTAAATCATTAAGATGTAAACGAAGTCATTCAGAGTGGTTTGGTGTGAAATGCTCTGTTCTGGAGAAACTTACAGAGTCAGAACTGTTCACAGTGGTGGTGATAGGAACCAGACGTCTGAAGAGTTTAACGCCTCTAAAGTCTCCCTCACAGAAAATTGAAAATGACCGTAACTTTGTTATATTTTTGAGCAGGTTTAAGCCCAACAGGTATTTTTCAAAAATCAATGAATGGTGGAGAGGTATGTACAAGATGCAAAATAGTCCCCAAAGAAATCTTATATTTTCTGATTTATAGCTATTTTACTATTATCAGCATTACATATAAAAGCCTGGAAGACACGCATAGGTTAACTGGTCATTTTGGATAGTAAATACAATATTTGTGTTGAAAATATTTGTGTTAATATTGGTGGTGATAGGAACCAGATATCAGTAGTGGTTCCTATCACCACCACTGTAAAGAAATACAATATGTCAGTATGTCATATTGCAATATGTTTCTATACAATGAAGCATTTCACATCAACATTCTGACTTTGTTTACATCTCAATTCATCTTTAACAGGCCCAAACAGACCAACGAGCACTGCAGCTGACTGTAAACAGCAGGATTAAGAGATCACATATTACATGGTCAAAGAGAGCGTCTCACTGCATGCATTTATCTCCGAGAGGAATGTTGTGTATAGACTGGGGGCCTAGCTGCTTAACTGTTATCACAAGGTGATGATAATTGCAGTTTCATGGCTGCAGCCTCCAATCAGCTGTAATCCCAGCCTTCGCGCTACAGCCTCGCTAATTAGCTCCAGCGCTTTCCTATATATAGCGCTGTCGGCATGAAGTCACACGTACGCACACAATCCTGCACTGTGAGGAACAGAGGCTGATCCTTATTCGAAAAGAACTTTCTCGACTTGAGTCAGGGCAAAGCTGCTGGGCTGTGAAGAATCGCTCTGATCTATGAGCAGCTGTGCAGAAGAAGCTGCCCTCTTAAACATCCCTCCTTCTTCATGGGAACTGTACGGCCTGTTTGCCTACAAATGACTCTAGCACTGGTGCACACACAGCAACGTCATCTATTACTGGGAGCCTGAGTGCAGACGCTGTAGCGAGCGTGGGAAGGGAGAGGAGGGGAGAGAAGAGAAGGGAAGAGAGGAAAGTAAGGGTAGGGAGGGTATCTGAGGCTGCAAAGTGAAAGTAGAGCAAAGATTTAGTAAAAGTGCCATCTCAAAAAAATGTTTCCTGAGCAACCTCGTTTCGAAAAAGGAAGAAAAAGTGAAGTAAGGTTGCACAGAAGTGCTATACGTCGTTATTTTTGAATTCAGAAGTATGCAGTGGTTTTGTACCGCTGGAACGCACGGCTACTGCAATAGAACACAGCTTAACATAAGCTAAATGGCTCTCATGCTGCTAGAACATACACTCATTGTATTAGGTAGCAGATTAAATGGACTGGTTATTACACACCTGACAAAATGAGTGCCACTTCATAGTCTGAATAGCTGCTTAGCTTTGGGTCATTAGCTCTTTCCCTGGCGCTACAAAGCCTCTCACAGCCACCAAAAAAACTCCAAGTGCCTTTCTCCTTTTTAAAGCCTGCTGTCCTATGAGCTGTGATGACTGCATCTGCTGCGTTCCTTAACATTTGAAGAGGCCTATAAGTGTTTCCCAAAAAATTCCCACCAAGTAAGTTGCAGTGTCAATCCCAACCCTTTGTTTTTGCATTTTAAAAGCTGTTCTAGATGTAAAACCTCCAGAGATGTTTCCTCTCCTTATAAGCTTCAAATGTTCCCGTTTAAGCTAAACATACTGGGGGAAGCACATCAATGTTAGTCAAACATAAAAAAGAAAACCTCATAGAGGTGCTAGTGGAAATCTGCATTGTTGTAACAATGGATAAAAAGTTTTTTATACATTTAAAGGAACGATTTCTGGGAAAAATCAAAATAACACCATTTCCCTCACTCCAGATGTAGCTGATCAGCCAAGCAGGCGTTGGGTGACATTTAAAACACTGAAGGAAGCTGAAGTTACAAAGCATGACAGCGTTTATTTTTAGTTCCATGCACTCAAGCTAAACTTAAAGTAAAAGAAGCAGAAGGTGAAGAGCCGTGCTGTAGCTAAAACTAGGATTGCAGCGAGAACAAATACAGGCAGCTTCTGTTCTCTCAAACATGAAAAAAAGACTACTGGGGTGCATCTTAAAGAAACGTGAACCCCAGTTTCTAAACATATTTACAAGCTGTTCAGCAGTAAATTGGTCCTTTCTAATTCTCTCTCAGTTCTGTTTCCAAAGCGGCGATTATCATGTTTTACACATCGCCATCGGGTTACTTATCTATCATCAACGATGTCCGATGGCATCGCCATATCGCCCAGGCCTACAGCTGTTTAGTTCAGCGCTGGAGCTACAAGGCTAATGTGGCTAACATACACTAGCAGTCAACAGACCCCAAATGTTTCCATAAATACGCCCCAAATGATCTACCTGCAGCGTTCCTCGACACAGATTTCCCAGGAGGTCATACTGTGTCCTAAACCATATTGACAAGTTTGTGTGACCCATGAAGAGCTGGACGACGTTAGAGAGAGGTTTTGGGGACGTACTTACAGAAAAGATTTGGGTGACTATTGACTTCTAGTGTTAGCAACGTTAGCATCCTAAACTAGAGAAGCAAAATTTAGCCACCAAACATCTGGAAAATTGTGTAAATTCGATTTTTCGTTGAACCACTTCATTAAGAATGAAATGAAATGGTTGGCATGTGTTCATTTTCTCACTGGTCATAGGATATTCAAATACTACTTGTTTAACAAAATGTGGACAGAATAGGAAAAATGGATGAAAGAAAACTTTTCCTCTTTCACTGGCAGTGAAACATCAGGCTACTGCGCGTTTTAGCTCCTTCTTGACCGTCATTCACTTGCTTTGCTCACTTTTATTCATTTATTTACTTCTATCTATCTATCTATCTATCTATCTGTTCTCTTCCCCTAAGCTGATCTGCTAGGCCAAAACAACACTTCAACAACCAATACAGCCAACACTGTGGGACACACTGCACAAACTACAGGCAACGGTCAGTCACATTGCCACTAGTGGGCAATGACAGCCTGATAGCGTTTGACAGTGGACAGTCAGCTTGGTTTGTCAGAGCACCAGTTTGCAGTCTTGGACCCATTCCAAGAAGTGACCTTACCTGCCGAGCCACTCTCCGGGCTTCCCAGTACGGCTTGGAGTCCTCCACTGCTTTGCCAATCTTCTTGACCTGCTCATCCAGCTTGATCGTGGCCTCCACCAGGACAGCACGGAACCTCTGCCTGGAATCCTGACAACCAGAGTTGCAATTAGGTCTGATAGAAGCAACATGCACAAGAAAGTAGTGCACTGCAAACAGTTAGCCCATATACTCTATACAGTAAAGCCTCGGACCAGGGCTGCACACAGTGTTTGTTGATCATCACTGCAATACTGATATTGCCCAGAGCTGTAATATGCAAATGAGCTTCGAACCAATCACAAAATGACTTACAGGGGAGGTTCACATTTTTTCATCAGTGCATAATATAATTTATAATAATTACAGAATTGCAGGCCTTAAGGTTAATGAATGAATAATAAGCAAGAAATTTAAAATTTAAGGCGCTAATACATCACAAGGCATTTCGTACTCGCTATGTAACAACAGAATTACAATATGGTGCCTTGCATAATGAGAAACCTGAGATGGGCAGCTGGGTTACCAAACACAATAAAAGTAATATTGCATTAAATACAATGTGTAAACCAACCTTGAGCTTGAAGTATTTTTATGCTTTACTGTGACAGTTCCTTTGTGTTATAGCTACGCTCTGTGCCATCTGCTAAACGGTAGCCTTTAGGCGGCTGTAGTAGTCTTTCCATTATATTCATCTTTGCTCTCTCAGATATGAGTCTTTATCCTCCGAACATGTGATATTTGAGCATTAGTTAGCTGGAACCGAGTCTGCACTGTGGTGGATTCCACTTTTAACCTGCCAACTAAGCTAGTGTTAGCTTAGCCAAGGGGGCTACGGCTTAAAACACCACAGAACAGGTTTGATTGTTGGAATAGTACTACTAGCTAAGCTAACTAGGTGCAGCTAAGTAGGAGAGAGAAGCTGGCTGCACTTGTTTGAAAAAAAATGTAGAAACCATTAAAAGGTTCTCTTGTTTAACAAAATCCATTAATGGTATCTTGTGGTTTCCTGATGGGTTGATATCACAGTGTAAAAGATTGTAATGGTTTAGTATGTGCTCAGGGACTAATTCCAGTTTTCCAATTGATGGTTTCCTAATGGGATCTAAAGGTATACTACAAGAAACTGGTTGTCTCTAATGGTAACCATTAAACCAATCAGGTTTTAGTGCTAATGGTTCTAATTGTCTTTTTTCAAGAGGGTAGCATTAGCCTAGCTAGCAGGCTACACATTTAAACACCATAGATCATTTTGCTTGGCTTTGCTGGCGGTGAGCTCAGCAGTTAGCAAGCTACACTAACGTTAACCAGCTCCTCTCCTAGTTAGCAGCGCTGTTTAACATTTAGCAATCATTGCTAGATTGACGGTTTGACATTTATTGAATGGTGGATTGAAAATTGAGCACTGCTTTCATTTACTTAGCCACTTTGTAAGCGAACTGAACTTAAATGATTTATCTCAGTTTTGAAATAATACAGGACGCCGAGGCCCAACGCAGAACCAGCTAACAGCTACGTCATTAAGTCATCCCACTAAACGTTTCTGAGGCCCTGAGGCCAGTTAGCAAACCAGGACAACCATGCTGAGCACATTTCTGCAGACTCTGCATGGTTAATCAACTCCAGAGTCCAGTTCTGACTCTTGTGGTGTTTGTTCAGAAAAGCCTTATAGCGATTTACATTCTCCTCTCCTTCGAGCTATTCCGCCGCTCCTCGTCCTCCTACAGCAATCTGCAGAAATGAAACACTGCAATAATCGAGCTTTGTGCCCTCCTGAAAAGCGCTGCTTCAGCTAACTCAATTCAGCGCTAATCGAGTTAACAAGCAAGACACGCCCTGCTTCTCTACAGACAGAAAAAGCTCCTTCAGCAGAAAGGAACAAGCTCCTTTGTTGCGTAAAATGTATGCAGGGCTACGGATGTAGGACAAGTGGTGATTCCTGCATTAGTTGTAATGTTTTTGCGAAATTGTGCACTTTGGTCATGGTTCCCTTTTGCCCTTGAGAGACAGTTCACAGTGTTTGAAGGCCGGACACCACTGCCAGGTCGTGCCTCCGATTCGAGCGCAGTGACACCTACATCCTCCCTCACGGCATCCCCACGGCCGAACAGACGTCAGAGGGAGCCAGGCTTCCTCCGGCAGAACCCATTCTGGCGCTCTCGGGTGACTAATGGGCGTTCGACAACAGCGGCTGCGGAAAAGCCACATTTGTTGCGTAACTCTTCCCCCTAGCTGGTTAACTGAAGTGCGACACAACCTCCGGAGGCAATGTTTGGACAGGAGGCCTTTCTGAGAAAGAACAGGACTCTGTACCATGCTCTCTCTTTCACAAACGTACTCAAGGAATTTCTCTGTGTGGACTAAACTACTTTAGATACGGGATCTTAACTATTATTAGATTGCAGAAATATCACCAGACTGGATCTCCTCAAGAGATGTAAACAGCACCTCTGTTTTCCATAAACTCGAACCTGAATAACAAGCTTGTTCTGCAGGAATACAGAAAAAAGTGCTATATTGTTTCTGATGTATAACTAAAACACATGCATACGAATGCAAACGTTTGAACAACTATGGAGAAATTAGGCATTTTGTTGACATGAAAATACATCCTCAGAGAATAAACCAAGATATGGCATTTTTTCTGTAAATGTCAGTGTACAATGTTTTATTTATTTGCTTTTGCTATTTATTTATTTATTTTGAGTGCAAAAAATTGGAAAAAAATCAAATATAAAACTACATGGATACAAGAATACTTATTCCATGAGTCTCCTGTGTACAACTGAGGGAGCACTACTGACAAAAGCACATATTTGGCAATTAATGCCAAATATTGCAGAAAGCGCAGTGTATCTCATTATCTCGAAGTAATTTCCTGACTAGTGACATATAACATAATACAGGACAACAAACACAAAACACTGTCACTTTAACATGACAATAAGTTCATAACCAGTCAGTAAACATGCTACTTTTGCATTTTATGGAAAAAATATCCAGTATATAAGAATGTTTATATGTTTGTTTCTTTTATATTTTGTTCATTTTTAATAACGATTTCCATTGTCCTGATACAACAGCGTCGTCAGTCTAAAACAGGGGTCGGAAACCCAAATGTTAAGAACAGTCATTTTGTCCTTTCAGCAAAAATCAGATCATGTGCTAATGTCCTAGTACAGGCTAACAAATTTAATATAAACACACTTACTTTGCTCTGCTTTAAGCTTTGGCTATAGCCACTTTTCTCACATCTCCAGCAGGAAACTTTTCCTCAGAAGTAGAACAGTTTCTTGTAAAATGTCTCTCAATGAGGCGACTAACAAGTCACGAGGCTGAAGTCAGCTTCTCATTCATCAGCTTCTTATGGTGGAACGGGAAAATTCGAACGAGAAGCTGGCGATTGAGAAACTGACTTTGGCTTCGCAACTTTTTAGTGTTTCTCATTGCAGATTAAATGTATCAGGAAACCAGCTGGAGTGATTATAAATGCAAATAAGTCTCCAAATTATTGATGTTCGTCTTTCTCTGTGCCATTTTGTTAGTTACTACCTAGGCAATATTGTTGTCTGTGTTGCTATGGTGACCAACTGTCTGCGCGCCAACGTTCAGGGTTAAAGTGTGAATTAGCAGTTATACATTAACTCCAGCATTTAAGACCATTTATTGTTAAAACTGTGTTGAACGATCAGCAGAGCTTTATTTTACGGCAAAGGAGGATTATTTTAATTTTACCTACAAATCTAATTTTGCTGTGGAGCCGCAACAGGGCAGTAAAAGGGCCGCATGTCGCTGACCCCTGGTCTAAAGGTTTGGACATTTGCCAAGTAACAGCTGTAGCTGTGAATATTAGCTATGATCTCACTGAACTGTTTAAAGTTCATGTTTAGGGCCAAAAACCTATTCAAACTGATTCAAAAAGTGATGGACTATGATGCTGCATGAGAAAAAGCTACATTTTCTACAGTATACAGATGATCTAAAAATCAGGCTGAACAATCAGAGCTCTGTTGTCATGGTTTCAGCCCAAACAAACACGGCAGAGCACAAAAACTTCTATGAAAAGCAACAAGATGAACATAAAAATGCAGAATTAGTGCGAAGGACCTACTATATTAAAAATGTATCCCTAAAAAATGCACTTGGTATAAAACAGCCTTTATTTGTGCAACCTATGGAGCTCCTACACTTACACCTGCTTAAGGGGAGGTGTAAATATTTAACGACAACCAAGTTCAACATGAAAACTAGTTTGTGTAGCGCAATCCGTTTTAATTTACTATTGCATAAACCTGAAGCTTCTTTAAAACTAGCCCACTTTTTAACACTGTTTCTATCATTGGTTCTTTGTGTTTGTTTGCTTGGAAACCCTAAGTACTGCCAAACTGCCCTGTTATAAATGATAAAGTAATATCAGAAGCTAACCCAGAGGGTAATTATATGGTAATTATACTACTATCAGGAATTGCATGCTATAAATTAAGCGCTCTGTATTATTTTTGGTGACATTTCTTCAGACGATAATCGCTTGTTTAAATTTATATCATTACTAATAGCATACATAATATTTGTACATGTTTTGTGTACTTTAATATATCGCTGCTGTCGGAACACAACCTTGTATCTCCATTTTTGTGTTTCGTTTTTCAGTTTTTTGACATAATATGAAAATGCCTGTTGCCCTTTACATTATATGTAAATTTCATGATGAATGGACAAAAAGAAACGGCCCAAAATTACCTGAAAAAAGTCACCTGACTTACATTAAAAGTAAAGTGTGTTTTTTCCTTCTCCTGCAAAGTTACCATACAGATACAAGGTTTTGTTCTGAAAGCAGCGATATGCAAAAACGGGCTAACATTAGTAAAAATCTACTCTTTTTACACATATGAAGGAGCTCTTATGCAGAGAAAAAGTCCAACCCAAGAGTGAAAATTTAACAAACTGAGTGAGCCATTTATGAAAGCATGACTGCATAAACAAAACCCTGAAAAAGTAACTCATGTGACCAAACTGTCTTATTATTTCCTAAACCGTTTTTTTTAGAGCTAGAAATGACAGAGCAGCACCGGATTTCCAGACACACAGATAAATGATTTCCTCTTCTCGTTCAACACAAATTCAGAGAACGTCAGTCACGCATGACAAACTTTCTATAGGCCCGTCTGGGAAGGGGGGGGGGTGGGGGGGGGGGAAGGGCGGCGAGCTTTGAGGGAGGTTTTCCCTTCTGGAATCCTGGCTGCCACCACTGGATAAGAAACAATAACATGATAAACAAGGCACGCGGCCGAGAGGCAGGCCTGACCTACCTCCAGCTCTGTTTCCCATCTGTTGATGTCATCCGTAGACTGATTCAGCTTCTCCAGCTCTCCCTGCAGACGTGAGAGAGAAGGAATGAGACTTAGAAACTCTAGAAAAGAAAAACTCAAGAAAAACTCTTTCACAACGCGAGCCGAGCAGCAACATCTGGAAAGTATTAGAAAACTGAACCCAAGTAGAAATTTAAGCTCGGCTGTGGCTGTTTCACCTCAGCAAACGTCCCACTTAACATACTTCTGGCACTGCCTTTACATTTCGTTGAGGATGGTGGTTAAACGCCACAGGAATTTTTAAAGTAATGAAGGAATGTTGTTGTTTTCACAACAATAATACACTCTCCAAACTGCGTAAATGTGGTTTTCAGACACACCTCATGCTGAGTAAAAGATGGTGTTTGTACAGTTCATGGATAAATCTTTGGGGCTTTTCTTGAGTAACAGGGGAAATTCCAAAATTCTGGCACAATCAGATGTAAACAAAGTCATTTAGAGTGGTTTGATTTGAAATCTACCAACTTACCAAGTCAGAATCAGTGGCGGTGACAGGAACCGGACGTCGGAACAGGCAAAAAGCCCATAAAAGCTACCTCACAGTAAGTTATTACATGGAACGGTTATGCTATCCAGAGCCTGAGACGTTCTGTATGAAGGTTTTGGCCTAAAATGCTAAACAAAACTTTTCAGATTTACCACTATGTTACCACTGTCATCAAAGACATATGGAGGTTCACTGACTGTTTCGGACAGTAAAATGACTTCCATTTGAATAAAATGACTGTGATGGACACTGCGACCCCTGGTTCCTATCACCACCACTGCAAAGGAATACAAGCTGGTCAGTTTATCTACAAAGAACCATTCCATGTTCAAACAACCTGGCTGACTCTACACCTCAATGATTGAATCATGCAGGAATTTTGAAGATTCAGTAGAAGTCACCTTTAAGCAGCCTGCCCACATGAACCAAAACGCCCAAGCATGACCACCAATCACAAACATGGACAGTAAAGTGGGCATAATCTGAATGTAAACTAGGACGTCTAAGCTTATAAGGGTCCTTATCACAGTGTGACATTAATGAAAGCTTATCAGCTGCTGCAGAGTCTCCTTCACCTTCAAACCTTCAGCCTAAAGCCCTTTAACCAGAGGACCTGTTGAAGAACTGGTGACTGACTTCAGTGCAGGCTATGAAGTGTATATGACAGCATATAGCCTACATTTGTACACGTGCATATAGAAATGCATATATAAATGTGGACATACAGGCACGTTTAAAACTCCTCAGTGCAGCCTAGGTTACAGCACCATTCGCCAGCTTCTTGTTCGACTTTCCCGTTCCACCTTAAATGGTGCGGTAGTTTAAGGTGGAACGGGAAATTCGAAAAAATAAAAAGGAGAATCCACAGCGCCAGTACCTGAATTCTCGGGTCAACTTCTTCGTCCTCTGGAGATTCAGGCTCTTCGTCGGACTTATTTCCCTTATCTGAAGTCTCCATGTTGAGATTATATGTGCCGGTTTATTTAGAGGAAAAGCGGCGACGGGGAGTCACTCAGTCAGTCGGTCAGTCGGTCAGTTGTGTCCATCATAAACTCCTCAGCGCGGCTGACAGAAAAACGGAGGACACGTTACAGACTACAAGCAGCATTGTGACTCGGGCTGGTGAAAGGAACAGGCTAATCGCCCTCGTTGCTCAGTCTGAGGGAGGAGAGCAGAGCAGCGGAGGGGAAAGGTTCGGATCTCGGTCGCCCCCTGTGGCTGAAAGCCCCTCCAAACTGAATGCGTATTAATCCCCAGTAGTGGAGACAAAGCCATGTGGAAATGGCGGTATATGGAGCACAGATACATCCCAAATCCTTAGAAACCATTGTTCCTGATGGTTTTGTAATGTGTTTTTTTTTAATGGGTTGATATCACAGTGTAAAGGATCCTACTGGTTTAACAGGCGACCAATGGCTGATTCTAAACGGTTGCCTAATGGGATCTAAAGGTGTTCTACAGGAAACTAGTGGTCTCTATTGGAAGCCATTAAACCAAGTTTCATTAGAATTCAAGTAAATCCTAATTTCTAGTTTCTAATGGACCTTTTACAGCAGGGATGACATATATTAGCATTTCTGGATTGTTATTGTTATAACTAACGAGTTAACTATCTTGTGATCTTAAGATAATGAAGTTTTTATTTTAAGACTATGAGTTAACTATCTTGTGATCTCAAGATAGCAAAGTAAAAAAGCAAAGTTGTTATCTTGAGACAACGAGTTAACAATCTTGTGATCTCAGGATAACAGAGTTGTTATCTTGAGATTAAGGGTTAATTATCTTGTGTTTTCAAGATAACGAAGTTGTTATCTTAAGATAACGAGTTAGTTATCTTGTGATCTCAAGACAACGAAGTTGTTATCTTGATACAACGTGTTAACTATCCTGTGATCTCAAGATAACAAAGTTGTTATCTTGAGATAATGACTTAACCATCTTGTGATCTCAAGACAACAAAGTTGTTATCTTGATACGAGTTAACTATCTTGTGATCTCAAGATAACGAAGTTGTTATCTTGAGATAATGACTTAACCATCTTGTGATCTCAAGATAATGAAGTTGTTATCTTGAGACAACGAGTTAACTGTCTTGTGATCTCAAGATAACGAATTTGTTATCTCAAGATAATGACTTAAGATAACGAATTAAGATAACGAATTCAAGATAACGAATTTGTTATCTCAAGATAATGACTTAACCATCTTGTGATCTCAAGATAATGAAGTTGTTATCTTAAGATAACAAGTTAGTCATCTTGTGATCTCAAGATAACAATCCAGAAAATTATAGCAACAGCTCATGGCCTCTCCGAACTGTGGAGCCCTGCTGGTGAAATCTTATATAAATAAAAAAATATGTGTGGCGACGCCTTATTAACATGTGAGAATGAGATAATCAAGTCGTGGCCACGACTAAGTACTTAATTATCTCATTCCCATGCCTTACTCGCGGCCATGCATTAATTTTATCTATATGAGATTTCACCAGCAGGGCTCCGTACCGAACTTCTGTATGTATGTGATGCACATGCCAACTGATTTTAAATTGGCTCTTTTTAAATATATATATATATATATATATATTTCACTCATATATATCAATATATAAACATACATGTGTATTTAACAATACATGATAGAAAACATTAATCATATATGGGGGGCATATATTACTCATATATGCTAGCCTCATGTTATAGAATATAAGGTTTTTTATTGGATGTATGTTGCTGGTGTATTTCATTTAAATTTTTTTGCTTAAATAAGACTCAGTGTTTGTATCAGACAGACAGTATATATGTGACCCATATATCATGCATATGTTCACCCACCGATCAGACATATCTATGGTCCATATTTTGTGCATATGTCCAAGATTTGATACTTGTACATATGTATGTAACATATAAGTACACATATTTTGAAACATATGGCTGACCCTTTATGATATATGTACATATATAGCCATGTATGAGATTTCCGTAGGGCCCCCCTGTGGTGGAAAGCCCCTCGAAGCTGAATCCTGTAGCGGAGGCAAAAAGACACCACAAAACAAAACCATTACAACACACCCACTGCGAGATACCCGACATGCCCACTGTAGACCTCCATAGACCTCTGAAGTTGTGTAGTCGGCGTCATGCCCATATTAGGAAATCTGGGTCTGAGCAGGTTTTCTCTACGGGAAAATGAATGGTGTTTTCATATATTGCAGCTATCTTGCCCTGTGATAAATGTTCCAAAGCACTATTCGGATGGGATTAGATTTTCATGGAATTCTGGGATAATTTCCTCTTTTGTAGGTATTCCTCTCTGATTTTATTTCTGTGCTTTTCTCCCTCCTCCCCTGAGAAAATTACAGGCCAAATTGCTTCCTGTTTTTCACCAAACTTAGCACTCATCTGATAAATTTAGTACATCTCTCTGCGATTTTGGTGGATTTTCCAAGCATGTCTCATAGCATTGGAAAAAATAATTTGCTTGGAAGTCTTTAAACTGCTTACTTGGTCTGTGGGCCTCCATCCTCTTGACGCTGGGAGAGCATTAGCAGGAGGTGAAACAAAAAAGAAAGCCTATCAGAGAAGCGAGATTTAGCAAAGATTATAGGGGCAATTATAATGGAAGTGACATGTATGAAGCATTTTATAATCACAGGCTTGTAGAAATTACAGCCCAAAACAGTAGTAATTTTATAGCCGTGTGAGTTTTATCACTTAGCCTTTTCAACTCCTTGGGACCACCAGTGGTTCCAAAATGCACTTCGTCATATTCTTCATAACTTTCATACTTCATAAGTTACATTATAAAGGTGGGTGTCACATGAGAGCTGTAACCGCCCCTTCCAGTCAAATAGATAGGTGATGTAATTTTAAACCCTTATAATAAAAGAAGCTGAACTCACAATTTTTTTGTCTACTGAAAGTCGACCCATTTTTCCACAAATCTGGGCTATAAACTATAAACAGATGGCGTCTCTTCAGTGATCTGCTCTGTAAAAATTATTTTTATAAAATAATACAAAGAGCGTCTAAGATTTTTGGCTTTCAGCAGTAAATTGTAAGCATATAGCAATATGTGTGATCATAAAACACATGTTCTGTTAATCTGATGGGAGCTTTTACAAAAAATAAATAAATAAATAAAATAAAAATTGACATTTATTTCATGCAGTTACTGAATAATTTGCCTTACGATTTGGTCATGTAAATTCAGATGGAAAAACCAAAATATACCCTGGAGAATAAGAGGTTAGAAGACATCCCCTTGATAAATTCATCCAATCTGAATGACATAAAGACTAAACATTTTGCATACGAGCATTTTTGGTCCAAATGCCAGATCCTCTGAATTAACGAGTTGAAATGTAATGTTGCATATATTATATAATCTCAACACTATTATATAATAACACCTGGTCCTCTAAATACACTCTACTACTACCAAAGCAGCTTAACTACCACACTGGACAAAGCTTGCCGGTTTGTGTGGGGTATTTTGGCAGGTTGTCAGCCTTATGATGTTAATTCAGTGTGCAGCAATGTTGGCTCACATGTAGCAAAATTCATATTTCGGCTTAGAAATTACCTTGTAGTACAGAGGATCTAGTGACATTCAGAGGAAAAATGCATGAAGGACAAAATGTATTACATTTTTTTTACCACAGAGTTCAACTGCGGACTTTTTCAGTAAAATACCATTCATTTTTATCATTTTTGGACTGGTGTTTGTAATATTGGCATGACACCAACAACAGAGTAACAACACGACTTCAGAGGTGTGTACAGGTCTATATAGGTTCCAAACCCAATACGTTTTGCCCTGCTTCATTTTTTCACTGGATGTCACTGGATCCTCTGAATTATGAGGCCTGTAGAAGTCAGTGCAGAGGTTCTGAACCCAACATGTTTAGTAAGACGTTGCATGAAAGTCAGTTTGCTATTAAATTCCTAATATACATCGATCATGCATAACATTATGACCACCTCCTTGTTTCTATGCTCATTGTCATTGTCAGCTCCACTTACTATATAGGTGCACTTTGTAGTTCTACAATTACATTGACCCTCACAGAGCAGGTACTATTTGGGTGGTGGATCATTCTCAGCACTGCAGTAACACTGACATGGTGGTGGTGTGTTAGTGTGTGTTGTGCTGGTAGGAGTGGATCAGACATTTAACACTGTGTCCACTCACTGTCCACTCTATTATCATCCTCCAGTCCTTCATCAGTGGTCATAGGATGCTGCCCACAGGACACTGTTGGCTGGATATTTTTGGTTGCTGGACTATTCTCAGTCCAGCAGTGACACTGAGGTATTTAAAACTCCAGCAGCACTGCTGTGTCTGATCCACTCAGACCAGCGCAACACACACTAACACACCACCACCACGTCAGTGTTACTGCAGTGCTGAGAATGATCCACGACCTAAATAGTACCTGCTCTGTGAGGGTCCTTAGATGCCCAATACAAGAGACCTGCTTGAGAAAGGTCACAGTGACCTGCCCAAATGGAGAGTGCTGACTGTGAAGTTTGGAGGAGGTGGAATAATGGGCTGGGCCCTTTATTTCTAGTGAAGGGAACGCTTAATGCTACAGCGTACAATGACATTCTAGTAAATTGTGTTCTTTATGGAAGCAGTTTGGGAAAATCCCTTTTCTGTTTCTTGTCCGTAAAGAAATAATTTGGTAAGTTTGGTGAGGAAGAACTTGGCTGGCCTGCACAGAACTCTGACATCATTTACTGTATGACTGCAAGGACAGGAATCTACTTTTTAGTTACCTTTAGTTTAGTCATTCACATATAACTCTTAGGCCAAATCCCATTTCAGCCCTCGCCCCTACCACTTAGCCCTTAGCCCTCTGTTTTGCGCGTTCACGTCTAGGGGTAGGGTGTCTCAATTTTTGTTGAGACAGAGGGGTAGGGTGGAGTGTTAGGGCTACATGGCCCTCCAAACAGAGTTTTTTCTGAGACTCCAAACGGAGAGTTATGAGAACAAAAGAAAAACTGGCAAGATGGCAGCACAAGAGACCAAAGAAACCCACAAATGTCAGAAGTTTCTCTGTTAAAAAATTACGATAACCACTGTATTATCTTAGTTTAATGTCCTTTCAATGTATTATGGTAGTTTTCTTCATAACAAGCATAAAAAATCACTAGTAGTATGCTAATGTCTTGGTA